CTACTACAAGGTTAAAATCATATTATCATTAAGAAGTTTTATTGCTTTGTCTTTTACATTTAAATCTTAAATCCATTCAGAACTGCTTTCTGTATTTGGTATGAGGTGTAGTCAAATTTTCTTCTTTTTTTCCTCCATATAAATATCTAATTGTTTTAACATAATTTATTGAAAAGACCATCTTTACCTAATCTCTCAACAGTGTCATATTTGTCATATATCTTAAGTGTGTGGGGTCTGTTTCTAGGCTAATCTACACCATAGGCCTAATTATCTATCTTTGCACAGATACTATATTGTCTTTTTTTTATATGACTTTTTAATATATTACGATATTTTGTTGAGCAAATCCACCAATCTTGTTCTCTAAGAATATCTTGGCTATTCTTGGTGCTTTAAATCTCCACATAAATCACAGAATGAGTTTGTCAGTCTGCAAAAATGAAAGCCTTTGGGATTTTATTGTAATTGCTTTGAAACCATAAATCAATTTGGGACAAATACCTTTATAATATTGAATTTTCTAATCAGTTAACACAGTATGTCCCTTCACGTATTTAGGTCTTCTTTAATTTTCTCTCAATAATATTTTAGGTATTATATACCTTTTATTTTCATTTATTCCTAAGAATTTAATATTTTTGAAGCTATAGTAAATAGCATTTTTCTAACTTTATTTTTTGTTTGTTGCTATTTATACATTGATTCTATTAACATAAAATGTAGAGTCTTTCCTATTTTGTACATATATAATCATTCATCTTAGATAATGACAGTTTTATTTCTTCCTTTTAAATCCTTACAGCCTTTATTTCCCTTTTAGTTTTACTGTTCTAGCTAGGACCTCCAGTACAGTATTGAATAGAAGGTGATAAAAAGCAGTCATGCCTGTTCCTAATCTCAGAGAGTACAGTCTCAGCATTTCATCACTGAGTATGCTGTTTGCAGTAGATTTTTGGTAGAGATCCTTTATTAGATGAAGAAAATTCCTTTATCCCTTATTTACTGTTTTGTTTTAAAACCATAATAGATTAATTTTATCAAATACTTTGCTGCATTTAATCTTTTTTTTTCTTTTGTTACTGTGATAATTTTTCAAAATGGAAATGCTTTATTTCTTTACCTGCTGAAATTTTCAATATTATCTTTTATATCCTTAAACATAGTAAATATAGTTGTTGTTTTTTTAAGTTGGAGTTTGATACCACCAGTATTTGAAGCCGCCATGGATCTATTTCTATCATCTGTTGTTTCTGCTCATTTTCCTTCATATCTTTTTGGGTTTTGTCTTTTTGGATATTGTATTATTAATATTGTTTTTTGAATGAGTGCCACATATTGTATTTGTTAAATTGTTTGTAGAAATAACTTGAAGCCTGGGATGATGCTATCTTCAGAAAATTTACATTTGCTTCTGCCAGACACCAAGGATCATTAGTAATCCAGTATTGCCCTAATCTAATTTCTGGAACTAAGATAATTGAGGGATTGAGATCATTCTGTTATCAAAGCCAGATAACAGTCCCTTCAAGGATTACCCATTTACAGACTAAAGCACAGAGGGTTTACCAGGTGTTTCTGCCTTTGATAGGTCCCGATTTGCAGTTTGCCCTCACTTCTGGGCGCCACAAACATTCTCAGGAGAAAAATGGCCTCATTTTTCAGGTTCACCTCTCTAGTTTTCAATATTCTCCTGGTTCTTGCTCAGTGATTCTTCACATGTTACTCGTTCAGCACCTTCAAGCAGTAGAACACCCCCCC